TCCTCCAAGTTGCTGGCGCCGGCAGCTGGACTTCGCAAGACAGCGTCCTCCAAACTGCCGGCGCCGCGACCAGGATCAGGATCAGCAACTGAACTTCGCAAGACAGCGTCCACACGAAAACACGCATTTCGCTCGTGTGCAGACGCATATGCTTTTTATCATCGCCGTGCTAACCGTACGAAATGGGCTCCGCCGCGCCGGCCGAACTTTCGCAAGACAGCGTCCATTCGGCGGCTTGCGGCAGCGTGCCTACCCCCCACTTGCCCTCCGCCCAGGACTCGATCCGACTGATCGGCTGTCAGGCCCACGCAGACACGAAGTTCATTCATGGCAGAAATTGTCATTACTCACCCTGTGCTTTCGCAAGACGGCGTCTGCACAGCCCACAAACAGATCAAAGCTGCTATGCCGCTGATGTTGAACCAAGCTGCACGAGACTGACATCACGTGCAGGGCAGAGTATCATACGACACATGCCGGTCTGAGACAGCCGAGGATCTGAATACATCCACATAAGGTCCCCGCACGAAGGCGCGGATGATCCTTCCCGTAGAGTCCTTCTGCTTGCAAGACGACATGCAACTCACCGCACACAACCCAGACCAGGGTTCGCGACCTTCGGCCGCAACGCAGAAGATGCCTGATCGGATTCCGGGGTGTTCGCATTACCAGCGGGGGGGGGGGGGCGCAGGAGACTTCAGGCCTTGAAATGCTTCAAATGTGGGAAGTAGCTGCATTCCCATGCTACAGGAAAAGAAACTAAGGGTCGGGCAGGCGGCCTCTGCTGTTTTGGTTGTTGTTGTACACTCTGTCTACAAAACAAACGGGGCATAAACACGGCTGGAGAAAAACTACGATTGCAACTGCACTTACCCTAAATCAGAGCGACCTTCAGCCCCAACACAAAAGATACCCGATCAGATTAATTATGGGATCTTCGAGCCTTCAAGTGTGGGAAGTAGCTGCATTCCAGATGCTAGGAGAGAAGACACTAAGGGTCAGGGATGCGGCCTCTACTGTTTTGGTTGTTGTACACATACCAAAACAAGTAAGAACATAAACACTGCTGGCAAGACGACGGTGGCCACTTAAATTACCTTAAGTCAGAGCTAAACCTGAAATAAGCGAGCCGGCAGCCGAAACAGCCTGTGTTGCCGCTGTGGCAGATTGCTGGCATGAGGCGGAGGAGGGTCCAGGCTAAAACCCAAAGATCGGGCTGTTGAGGAGTTTGGATGCCACCGTGTCTAGAGCCGGCCTTAAAAGAAGTACGGCTAAAGCAACCTTCGCAGCTCAGTCAGTAGGGCTTAGACGAGGTGTTATCTAAGGTCTAGCTGGGGGCACGAATTGCGCATGCACGATGTGCTCTCTTTCCCGCCACGATGTTTGACAGCTTTGTAAAGCTCGCAATGCCAGAAGTCGTCGATTGTTCCGAGACCGAATGCCACGCCTGTCTCGTAACGTTTTCGGGAAGCTGTTCACACTGGACCAGATGTCAGGAGCGCCCACTGGAGGCAGGTGCAATTCGCAAGACCGCGTCCTCCGCGGGCACCCTGCGCTGCCGATGCCGCCTGCCGCGGCTGGCCTAGGCAGAGCCTAGAGAGCGGGCACCACCAAACGCTTAGGATATCACACTCACGAAGACAAGCACTTCCACACTCAATTGAAGCGACGTCTCTACGAGAGCTGCAACGCCATAAGCCAATCCAACTCACGGCCAGATTTCGGACACGCTGAAAAAACAGCGAACCACCGAAGACTGTTTCCTTCAGCCGGACCAATTGGACGCTGATTCGACCACGCCTAGTCTCTGCTGGCAAGCACCTAGCCAAACCATCGCAAGGCCCTGTAAAGCACCCGACGAAATTCACCCATGCACTAAACCTCTACACCCAAAGCCCCGAACAAAATGCCAAAGCATACCGCAGGGCATTTGGCCCGAATACCACAATGCCCGAGACCCCCCAGCCCCAAAGCAACGAGGTCCCGATCATACAAACCACGAAGCAACCAAACACAAATACCAAATTCCGATAAGTTGAATTCATAAGCCCGGACGAAGACACCGCAGCACCCAGCCCCAATGCCTCTGGTGGAGGCTGGTCTAAGTCCTAAACCCCCGCTGCCCGAACCCCCGGCCTTTCCATTCGAAGCTTCGATTGGAGGGCAGAAAGACCTCTGGGGTGTTGGCAAGCAGTAGTGAGAAGGGGACGGGGGGGGGATCCGGAATCCCAACAAGGCTCCCCTGGAATTGCCGACTCCACTATCAAGCTGACGGAAAGCTTCCCTTGCACACACATATGCCTGACTGTGCGTCGCCGAACATTTCGCGTCGGTGAAACGAAGCCAACAGCCCTGCCCCGCCGAACTTTCGCAAGACAGCGTCCATTCGACGGCCGGCCGCAGCGCCACCGAACTTTCGCAAGACGGCGTCCATTCGGCGGCAAGCGTGCGATGAGCAAAATTACTGTTGTTTGCAACCAGGACTCGAAGGATAGAGCCTTCCCTCTTCGCGTTCGCGGGGTCTCCTGCAAATCATCGAACCCCTGTTCTTCTCGGAATCCACCCCCTGGTCTTTAGCACTCGCAGAACCAAGCGAATGCAAGCCTATCTCAACCGCGCCACCTTGCATTTGCTCCTCTTCAGGCTGTGGAAAACGCTTCGAGTCCGCCTCCTTGTAGTTCGCATGAGTCACTCTTTGACGTTCAGGCAGTTCGAGCGGATCGAAGACCAAATCCCGGAATGTGGACTGTTGCTCTCGAGACATGACAAAGACAGGCTGCTCGCCCTCGAACTCCGCACTGCTCCACTTGTAGTCCTGGTGATACTTCGCATGAAGTTCCGCATGAAATTCCTGAATGGGCTGCTCCCAAAATGTCAACCTTTTAGCGTGGCGATCTTTCCAATAATCACGAGACTTGGCCTTGCTCGCATCACCGGCAGACCTTGTCTTGCCTGTCAGCCCGGGAGAGGATGCTTTCTCCGGCTGCCCGGTGAGTCCTGCCAAGCGGGCGAGCAGCTCAACAAGTCCGGCCATGTCCATATCCAAGTTGAAGTGGGTCTGTACCCTGAGCGTCGGCCGTTTGGAAAACTCGTCCACCATCACTTTTGCCGTTGGGGGACAGGACGGTTTCAGCCTTATAGGCGGACGGGTCTCATCCGTCTCAGGGGATCCACAGCTTGACGCAATTCGATTTGCGGACTTGTTCAGGGATTTCTCCGCCGCTGCCGTCTTGGATAGCAGCTCCACCAATGCAGGAATCTCCATTTTCAAGACCATGCTAAAGCGGGCCGAGAGGGTTGGTTGCCCCGTGCGCGCATCCGATTCCGCCGTGAAAGAAGTGACAGAGTCATCGATCAGAAAACTCAAGGGAAGCGACATAGCCCGATTCGACTCACTGTGCACAGGGCCGCCACCCGCGGCGTTGCCCTAAGGATTAAGTGGAGAAGCTGGTGAAGCCCCAGGAGAATGCTGGAGACTCTGCGCAGACACTACACCTCTGTTCGCCTCTTATAATCCCATCCTCTCTCTCTCTCTCTCTCTCTCTCTCTCTCTCTCTCTCTCTCTCTCTCTCTCTCTCTCTCTCTCTCTGTCTCTATGTCTGTAACTGCGACATGCCACGGGCCAGGCCTCCACGGTCGAGCTGGTGGTCGACACCGCTGGTCTCAGTTCCCGCGCCTGGCAGCAAGGTACTTGCCCTGCGACAGTCATGCACACTTTTAGTATCTCGCGCCGGCGACTTGCATACAACTCATGCGAATCTCAATCAAGCCACGTCGCACCGCAATGGAGAGTAAGGAAGAACCTGAGACAACGTACTGCATTCCTGGTCCAAGCTACTGCTTCACTCATGTGCAGAAACGAATGCATTTTCACCACAATGCCTGTGTGTCGCCGAACTTTCGCATGAGTGAAAAGAAAACCGCAGCTCTGCGACGCCGAACTTTCGCAAGACAGCGTTCATTCGACGGCCGGCCGCGCGTCACCGAACTTTCGCAAGACAGCGTCCATTCGGCGGCTGGAGCCGCACTCAATCGTCAGTCCACGTAATCGTAATCGTCGTGGTTGCTCCTGCCCCTGGAGGTGGTCGGATCATACTTGTATCTCTTGGGTTCTGCTTCTCGGGCTTCCACTGGTGCCTTTCGAGACTTGGAAGCCCATTGCGACCAGGAATCCCTTGAAGGCCAGGACGCACCTGATGGGCCACTCCATTTTTGTCCCCATTGTCCCCAATTTTCTGAGGAATCATCGCTGCTGATCTCCACAACCTCCGGCTCCTTGGAGGCAGTCGTATCCCGGTGTGCGGCAGCGGATGATTTCAGTCGAGCGGGTGCCTCCTTTGGATCATTCCATGACCACCAAGACGAATCTTGCCATGTCGAGTCCTCCCAGCCATTGTTTCCATCGGCAAAATACGACGAATCTTGCCATGTCCACTTCTGCCAGCCATCGTTTTCTTGCGAAGTCGACACGGTAGAGGCCTTTCCCTTAGACTCTTCCGAACCGCACCAGGAAGGTTTCACGTCCTTGCGTTTCTCCGAATGGCACCATGTGTCTGTTGCGTCCTTGCCCTTCTCAGCGAACCATGATCGGTCGGAGAACGATGCGTAGCCCTCACGACGACTTTCATACCATGACCACGAGCTCGACATGCACGGGTCCATGGCGACTCACACTCGTTTGCACTCGAGTCATAACACTTGCACAGTAACTTTCACCCCCTGCCCCCTCTGCCCCTTCCGCACACACTAGCATCGATCTCGCTGATAAGGCCCTTGCGACGACACAGGACGTGAATGCTGCTTTCTGCCACGTACCTCAATCCACCGACCCAATGCTTGAAACTACATTCGAACACAGCGACATGTTTTTCACTCATGTGCAAAAAAAAAAAAATGGCATTTATCATTGCCAGCAAGCGCCAGCCCTGAGGAAACAACCTCCACGAGTGTGCGCCCGCTTTCGCAAGAGCGCATGCGTCCGCAGCACCTAACTTTCAAGACTAGTCCGTTGCCAAGCGAGAGAGAACAACATACTCATTTATGGCGCGGACCTTGCATCCGAACCACCCACCCAACCTTCCCATGACTAGGCCCAAACACGCCGTTCCGGTGGTATCGCGCGCCAGGAAGTTTGCCAAACCGCGCGTAGGCGCCCTGTCTCCCAGCTGCGTTTGAGAGCTGTCATTCTCTCTCCTCGTCGCCACAAACCAAAGCAGCTTTTCTGCGCAGGACACCCCTTTCCATGTCCCCAGATCACCAATTTTCTCATCTCCGGTGTTTTCTTCTTTTTCCCACACAGCTGGGGCCGCAAATTTTTGCCACGCCCGCAGATTGTCCCGGGAACCTCGCCAAGTCAGCGATATCTGCGCATCCAGCCCGTCGGTCATCTCACGTTGCCCTCCAGAGACCCAATCTCGAGCTCTCTTTGGCTCGCTCTTGGGCGTACTGCGTACCCGTCGTCGTTCACGCATGGCCAGGCACTCGGAGCACCACCCCGGCAGCCCACGCGCACAGCGATCGCACGAGGAAGGAACGGGAACGGGACCCCGCCCCCCCCCCAAACACACACACACACACACACACACACACACACATTGTTTCGTTCCTGCTCAACAACACACGCCACTAAATTCCTAGCAGAGCTGTTCCGCATGCAACATCTCCAGGCTCTTATAAGAAGCCAACCAGGCAGTGCATGTACAACAAGCGGTCACCCACACCGAGTTTGCTGCTATAGACTATACTACACTCTATCGCAACGAACGTTGAACGAGTGCATCAATTACATTAGACAGACATCGCAAACGGGACGACGTACATCGACGACATCCAGTAACAGAGAGGAGGAAGCGAAACCCCACTTAAGGCGACATCTGCAAAATCCTGGGCCAGCGATCGCCGAGGAAGGAACGGGAACGGGACTAAACCGCTTTTTGTTTCGTTCCTGCTCAAGAACCACGAACGTCTAAATTCCTAGCCGTCATCGTGAACCGGCAGTTGTCTCTTCGCGATCAGCTTCAGATAGCTGGGGACGGTCGCGGTCAGCTGTAGATAGCTGGGGACAGTCAGAAGACCGGCACATGACCTTCAGACACACGCCG